TCTTATCAATTGATAAGAAAGGATAAGGGCCGTTCTTATTACATCTCTTATCACTATACTGCCAAGTATTGAAGGCTCAGTGTGCAAACTTTTCCTTAGCCATCACTTCTATGATAGCGCTAGAAAATGAACTCATCCTACTATATAATGCGGATGTCGACGAGCGGGGGGGGGGGGGGGGTATGTACTTCGTCTGAAACAGGAATCTCAGGGAAATTCGAGGAGAACCGAAAAACCTGAATAATGTGACACTTCATGCGTTCAATTGCACCTTTTACTTCTAAACTTTGAATTACTGATTAGAACGAATAACAAGGGCTCATAATACATTTTAATAGTTATACTTCAGCGAGCGGATTGCATGCTAATTGAAAAGGGAAACGTACATCGGTAGGCATTTCGGTGCAGGTAATGGAAACGAAATCTGCTTTTACTGAGCGATTCAAACTGCCCTGTATTGGCCGACTACACGTTGTATCTATATCTACAGATTTATGTATTGTATGGGCGTAATGGCGCGGACCACACCCCTGCTGCAAATAGAAGCCTGTGCTAAGTAGTGCACGATCCCAAGCCTTGCTCTATCTGCTACGATTCGATCACTACATCGCCGTATGAGCAGCCCACTATTGAAAACGCTCCGTTAAAATTATGGAGCGAGCCTGGCGAAGCCAGGCCAGCTCGGCGAAGCCGAGCTAAAGAGAAGGAGGAGAGCTCGGCGTTAGCCGGGCGATCCGACTGGTCATTTATGAAACAGTAGCTGATAAGTAATTCCTCAATGAAGGAAAAAAGAAACAAGAGCCCTCAAGAACACCATAAACAAAATCGCGCCCTGACAGTCACACCTCCCTGCGGTCTCTGTGCAAGCCCTGGCTCACAAATCACTTTGTCACATCTCCCAGTAGTGGATATCATCGAATGCGAAGAAAAGAAAACAAAAAACAACAGAAACATAGAGGAAAAACTCTTGAAAAGAAAAGGAAACATTTAAAAAGCCGGCGTCCGAACTTAGGGTTACGGCATGTTTTAGTGTAGTGAAGTGCGTCGAGCTTTTGCACCACAGAAATTGCATCATTCGTGATTACGCGTTTTACCTTACGAGATGGGTTGCTGTACGTGCTCCCAATGAATAAAATGTGATGAAGGAGAGCAGAATTATACGCATGAGCGCGGTCAGCAAAAAATACATGCAGTTCCGATTAATGACTGCCGTCCCAACAAGGAACAACTGAGCGGCTCTCCGTCAGAGGGCAGCTAGCTAGTGAGGCGGCGTTAGAACTAGAACTTTGAGCGGTTCTAGCTCGCTTCTCGCTCGCTGAGGAGTCGCGAGAGTGAGATAGTATCTAGCTTGGGGGCTGAACTACCTGCCCAAGGAAGGACGACCATGTACTACTTGAGCGCGGGGCTGTCTTTAAGGGAGACAGAATGCATGAATCATAGGCTGCCTCAGAGGCTCCATTATTCCCGTGTAGGTTATGAACGTACCAGTCGGATCGCTGGCTAAGGCTGGCTCCCCTCCTTCTGTGATGCGGGGGGCGCTGCTGCTGCTTCTGCGTCTTGACGGAACGAGCGCTGCTTTTCAGTTGTTGGCTGATGCAGGAGATTCCTTTGAACAGTGTGGTTGGTCAACGATCCGTAACTTAGCACGCGGCAAATCCGCATGGCCCGGCGAAGCCGGGCCATGTCACAGAAGGAGGAGCGCCCGGCGACAGCTGGGCGATCCGACTGGTATCACACAACGGAAGGCTTCATGTCGTCGAACAATGAAGTATTCCTGGAATAATATCCCAATATTATTTACTCGAATGGTTTCAGAAGCGGTGTTTTTCTATTAAGTGCACAACACGTGCAATGATCGCTACGTGAATGATAGGGATCGCCGCTAACGCCGACAAAATTGCAATATTCCTGTATCTAATTCTAGAGGAAGCTTTCTCCTTTGACCATATTTGGCGTAATCTCTGAGGCCTCATCGACTGTGGTCTTTTTGACATGATTCAGAGTCCTCTTTCGGTCTATACTTCAAACCCCATTTTCCATCCGGTTTCAGCAACACGAATATAAAAAGAGATCCCAGTGTTATCTGGCGACATTCGTCAAGGGTCAGAGTTAGCACACAGTGTCTACAAATATCCACTCCACTCTCGAACGAACAATGATGTGACATGTCACGGGGATATTGGCATGACAAATTGGGTTCCAATCAATTCCAGAAATGTCTCTTTGAAAAGGCAGAGCACGTGCAATGACGTGTTTAAAAAGAAGCGCACAGTAAATGGTGCTATTCAAGAGGGATTACCATAAAAGGAGTGGAAG